TTTGCGAGGGGAAGGGCCCCTCTGGGAGGGGAAGGGGCTCCCTCGAGGGCGTCGAACCCCTTGGAGGGGAGAGGAGCGAACCCCTCTTTGAGGGGATGCCTCGACGACGCCGACGACGGCGACGACCAACTTGCAATCCATTCGCAGCTGTTGCGGCTGCAAGGCCATCGGGTTCGCTTAGATTTTTCTTTCAATCGCTGAGTACGCTTCCGCTCACAGCAGCCATGGGCGGCCCTGTCAGCATCGCTCCTCTGCTCCTGGTGGGCAGCCTTCTCTCGTCGTTGTGCAGCATGGCTGCAAAGAGGAAGCCCGATGGTCCCCCTGCAGGCAAAGCAGCGGCACAGAAATGGAAGGCTGCTCCTAAGGGCGAAGGGCTCGACAAGCAGGAGGCCGACAAGATGAGGTCGTGGCCCCGCTACCAGTCCGAGAAGAAGGACGCCAACGGCAAGTCCACGTCCAGCGCAGAATCAGCCAAGGAGGCGCAGGCCATGTGGAACGACATGAAAGATCCAACCGATCGGAAGCGTTTCTTGCAGTCTTTCGCAAGCGACAAAGAGAAGGCGCTGGACTGGTTGACCACCTTCGAAGAGAATTGCACGAACGAGGAGGTGCACGCCAAGTCTGCCAAGACGGGGTACCAGAACGCGTCGCAGGCGCCGGCTCTCAAGAGCCTCCGCATCACAGATTTTAGTACCATCGAGGAGGCCACGCAGTTCGCGCGGGACTGGTGGGGGGGGAATAGCGAGGAGCATGGAACCAAAGAAGAATACCCTGTAAAGGAAGATCCAACGAACAGACCTCCATGGAAGCAGTGGTACTTCGTGGAGCGCAACATGGACGATGACAAGCTGGTGACGACAGATTCCCGCAGCTTCAAGGGATCATCCAACTTGAAGAACATGAAGCAGCTCGAAACCGCGGGCGCCAGGATGTCCCAGCTCCCGTCGTCCAGCTCCGGTGGGCCAGCGGAGGGGGAGGTGAAGCTCGAGAATCCGCACTCGCCGCAGATCACCAGCGAGAAGGAAGAGATCGCGTGCGGCCCTCGGCAGCCGCCCCCATCGGCACTTCCCCCTTCTCTGTTCCGCCAGGCCCCTATGATTATGATGAGGGGTCCTTCATTCGTCTCGCGTGCTGTCCCTCCTGGAGGGGATCGTCCGCTAGTATTTTTCATCAATGCTGATTTTGTCGCTGCGCCCCCTGCTGAGGTCAACGCTCTTCAAAAATCAGAAGCAGCTCAAGGAGATGAAGCGCGCGAAGGCTCAGTTGCTCGCGAAGGCTGCAGATCAGGATCAGAGTGATCGCACGCAGTACGAGAACTGGGCGAATGAATGCAAGAAGTGCGTGGACAATGCGGATGAGCACGAGGCGAAAATGGAAATCCTCCTGGCAAAAATTGGCAACGCTGCTCCTGTCGGCAAGGATCCGGAGATGCACGCGAAGCTGAAGGACGAGGCCTTTGCCGCCCACAGCACGATGGAGCACGCGTGCGAGGGGGCCCAGCTGTCGCTCAAGCGCTTCAAGACGTTCCTCAGTTGAGCTGCTGGCATCAATACATATCCATTTGCACTTACATGTGTAGGGTGGGAAGTACTGCCTCGCCCGACAGCTGTCGCGTTCATTGCAGCATGTGCGTCGACCCATATAAAAAGTACATCGCGCCAGTATCCTTTCTCGCAGAGGACCCCTTCGTGAAGGGCCGCGCGTTTCTGCGCCTGCCCCGGCTGAAAATCTTTAAAAAATCTCTCGCCGCAGGGGGTGGAGGAGGGGGGTGTGGTGGAGAAGGGCGTTGGACAGCAATCGCCGCGCTTAGAACGAGGCGGGCAGGTTCTGGACAGGCGGCGGCGGCGGTAGGGGGCGGGGGGGGGGAGGGGGGGGGGAAGCGGAAGGGCACGTGGCAGAGGAGATTGCAGGATCCCCTCCAGGAGGGGCGCGGCACAGAGAAATATCGCTTAGCCTCATCCGTTCGTTTCCGTAGCGCTGGCTCGAGGCACATCCGCAGTCGCATTCGCCTCCCGCGAGGGGGCTCGAGGGCCGTCGGCATGCTTTGGAAGCGTAAGTTGCCTTATGACAGGCTGCAGTCGCCGCCGCAGAGGCGGCTGAGAGCGAACGTGGAGGACCTGGCCAGCAGCAACGCGATCAGCGGGCAGCGCGGTGCTCAGTTGATCAATGACGCCGTCTCTGCGTCTGCGGCAGGCGTTGCCGACCTGCAGACCTCTGAGACCACGCGGGGCACGAAAAACGCTGCCAGGAGATTCAGGCGCCAGTTCTTCAAGCAGGGGTGGCCCCCGCTGTATCACTGTAAGGTGAGGGGCCGGGGCCCCAAGTCTGGAACAGAGCAGTTGATGGATATTGCTATGATGCTTCCGCACGAAATCCTGGCTACGCTGCATCATTTCGGCGATGAGAGCGCGCTTCTGGAGACGTCGAGCCTCGACGGCGCGTCTTTGCGCCACGTGCAAAAAGCGAGGGCTGAGAGCGGAAGCGACAATATCGTGGCCTTGGGCGCGTGGCAGGACGGAGCCCCCTGCTTCTGGGACCGATCAATGGAACGCAGAAATCATCAGCATCACGCTGCCGGGCGCTGCAGGCCGCTGGAAAAACATGCGCGCACCGTTAACTGCGTTCCTCAAAAAGCACGTTGGCCCCAACACATTTAATGATATCTTCGCCGTGGTGCAATGGAGTTTAATTTATTAGGCTGTGAAGCGCTGGCCGACGGCGCGGCACGACGGGCCCCCTTTTGTCGTGAACACAGACACCTGGAGGAAGCGCCAGCAGGGTTCTTTACCGATTGGCGGGGTGCTTTGCCAGATCAAGGGGGACTGGAAGATGATGAAGGAGGTGCTCAAGCTACCTGGCTGGCAGGACGACGAGATTTGCTTCCCGTGCAACATCAAGGAGGGCGAGGCCCGTGGGCACCCAAACCATCACGGGAACTTATAAGTCAAAATCCCCTCTTGGAAGGGGGGCTTAGGGGTGAAAATCCCTTTCGAGTGAGGGGACTTGTGGAGGAGACCGTATTGCGCCCCCTGCTACAGGAGATCGTCGTCTTGCGGGCGGGAAGGAGAAGGGGAAGGTGAGGGGGGGGGGAGGCGGGAGGAGGAGGGGAGGAGGGGGAGCAGGAGGAGAAGGAGGAAGAGGAGGAGAAGGAGGAGGAGGAGGAGGAGCATAGGGAGGAGAAGGGGGTGGGCGCCACCGCTTTGAGAATCCCCCATTCAGGTGAGGTCACAGACTGGGAGAGACGCGCCGTGGAGAACAAACCGCCGCACGTGGTCGGACATCATTCGGAAGATCGTTGCTTCAGGCGAGACTGTGCGCCCTCTCTTCCAAGTGCCGTTTGCAAACGAGAAGCTGCTGAAGTTAGACTGGCTGCACGTCGTTGACCTTGGAGTGGCGGCTGACTTCATCGGCGGCTTGGTCCGGTACCTCGTAACGCACAGAAAGGTTGCAGGAGCTGCTCAGAAAGCCCGCGCGCTGACGCTGCATCGTCATCTGATGGCGTTCTACGACAGGCAGCCGCCAGGTGAGAAGACCAGCCGCTTGCCGAAGCTGACGCGGGGCGTCGCGAAGGGGGAGAAGGCGAAGACGGCTGGGATGAGGTGCGGCGCGGGGATGCTCAGGCACATGGTTCCATGGGCGATGGAAATTGCGGATGCATTCCTTGATCGTCGGGATGGCGCCGACCAGCGGGCAGCTGTGGAATCGTCAATTCACGCTGGGATGAAAAGCTGGAGTCGGTGTTACGACGCGCTGTCTGATAACCATCCACTTGCTGTGGATATTCTTCGCGAGCATTCAATGAAGTTTGGCACGCAGGTGGCAGCTTTGGAAGACGCGCTCCCAACGCATTTCAAAGTGAAGCCGAAAATGCACATGTTCCAGGAGCTCTGCGTGGAAGGCGGCGAGCCAGCGAAACACTGGAATTACAGGGGCGAGGATTTCGGTGGATCTGTAGCTGCTTTTGGCCGAAGGCGGGGTCAGAAGAGATCCACGAGGGCATTTTCGCTGGCATGCATCGCGAAGTTCTGTGGCCAACCGATTCTGCGCATGCTTTGAAAGAAACACCTTGGGCATCATCATTGTCATCATGTACGAAGCCCCACCCAGTTGGGGTTATGAGACCCCTCCCAGTTGGATCTCAAACCAATTCAAAGCACAAATCCTGCATCGAACTAGATTTTCCCTGCGCGCCAAAAAGATCAACCCAAACGAAAGTTCCACCCCCGCATTATAGTACAGGCAGGCATTATAGTACAACTTTGGAATCTCAAGGGCCGCCGCGGCCGTGGCGGCGGCGCCGCGGCGGCGGCGGCCGCGGCGGCGGCAGCGCCGGCGGCACTAGCCGCAGCAGAGGGCGGCCCGGGCGGGCCGCGCAGCCAGGCTGCCAGCAGGGGGCGGCAGCCTCGGCGGCGGCCGGCGGGCCGCGGCGGGCCGCGCTGTCAGCAGGGGCCGCGGCGGCGGCCGCGTCGGCGGCCCCGGCCGAGTAGCCGGCCGCCGCGGCGGGGGCGGCGCAGGCGGCAGCCAAGTGCAGCGGCAGGCCAGGCGGCGGCGCCGCGGCGGCCACGGCAGCCGCGCCGGCGATGCCAGCTCGACGTGCGGCCGCCGCCCGCCACTGCTGCCGCCGGCAAGCCGTGCGCGCCGACGGCGACATCAAAGCGGGGCTTGCGACACAGAGACCCACGGCCGCGCGAGGGCTCACCGTGGGGATCGTGCGAGAAGAAAAAAAGCCTGCTGCAGGCGCGCACGCCTCGGGGCAGCCCCTCGGCAGCAGACAAGCACGAAACCGCAGGGCGACGGTTTCGTACTTGAGCCAGAGGCTACGGAAGACTGCCAGGGATACGCGAAGCGTTCAGAATTCTAGAAGGGGGGGGAGAGGAGGGAGGGAGAGTGGGAGGGGGGAGAGGGAGAGGAGGGGGGGGAGGAGCAGGCGGCCTGCACACTCCGACACGCGTGGCGGTGGCCTCGTGCGTCCCTTGCGCGGGCCCCCCCCCCAGGAGCACTCGTTGTAGACGACGCATTCGGGCCTCTTGTCAAGCGTGCTGTAGGGGTGCAGCAGTGCAGACTGGCAGTCCTTGACCGTCAAGTAGGTCGCTCCCTCCGGGCGAGAAACGACCATTCGACATCAAACTTTTCAAATCCGCAGGCGCAAAATTTGCGAGACGGTCAGGCGCCAGTCAAGCGAGAGCGGTGGGATGCACCGGAAGCGAATAAAGGCATGAAGCGAAAGAGTAAGGGGGCGAGAAGAGGACGGGGCCCGATCTGACCACGAAGGTCAGCGCGGGAGTGACGGAGAGGTACATGCGCTCGACAGCAAACACGGTGACAGTCGGGGACAAAGATGAAGACAGCTACGGCATGTTCATGTCGTGCCGACTTCGGCGTTGGTTTCTGACACCGCGGGGCTCGTTCAACCTTGAACGGTCGGCCGTTTCCGAAACGTCAGATCGTTCAACATCGACCGAATCTGGGTCGCTAGCGGCGTTCAACGTGAAACGCCAGCGGCGGGGTCGTCGCCAGTCGACACTACGCGAACCTGCCGTACGAATGCCGACGTGTGTTCAGAAGATGTCACGAAGGCGTTGCCAAACGTCTTCCAGAGAAGGAACGAACTACAGCATGCAGACGGCCTCCGAATCGCATCGGTAATTGCATCATCACAGCGTGTGAAAATTTGACGGGGCACACAGAGACGGAAATGCGATAGCAAGAGGTCGAACGACACTTCAGGGACATGTCCGCTTCAGACCCTGCATCATGTGAATCCACGCTGCTGAGGCCGCGAACGTACGTCCGTTTCCTCCCCGTGCGTCGATCCCCGCATCCTGGGGAGCAAGACTAACATGAACCCATCCCAGCTTTTTTGCCTCTTTCCTCCTATCCCCCTCCCTCCCTTCGCCTCCTCCTCCTCCACCTGCCCATTCCAGTGGTCGTCAGCGAGAAGGGCCTTCCTGTTGGAGACTTGCTGGACCTTAAGAAAAATGCATCACTTCCGACAGCCTCACATTTTCACCATACCGCCCGACAAGGCCGTGGAGCAGTTCAGCCTCTTATCGAAGATCTGGGGGCCCTCATCCTCCTTTACCTTCCCATTCTCGTCATTCTCCTCCTCCTCCTCCTCCTTCTCCTCCTCCTCCTCTTTCTCCTCCTCCCCCTCCCCATCCTCTGACATGTCCTCCTGGCAGCCTCCTACACATGGCTGCAGAAAATGGGCTCCACAAATCGCCCCACATCGCCGATGCATCAAAGACGTGGGAGAAATAGAAGGAGGAGGAAGAACGATGCGAAAGAAGCGAAGAGAAATATAGCGATGTAGGGCTGGAAACTGAAATTGATGGGAGCTAAAACTGCAACGCTTCGCCGATGCATCGACGAATTCTGAGAAACAGGATGAAGTAGACAAATGAGATGAGGCACATTCTGATAGAAAAAAGGGGGGCCACATGGATGAAACAAATTTGGTTCTGGAGTAAAGAAGCCCCTAGACAGCACTGCATCGACGATGCGTCGGGAAGCCCATCTGTAGACGCCGCCAACACATACGCCCTTGCTCGCGCGCGAAGCACTTGGGGCGACACGTTTGCTTCAACGCCTCCACGACACAGTATTGCAGGCTAGGTCTGCCGACGGACTCACCCCAAACACTTTGGCAACGCAGAAGGGGGTGGGGGCGTAAAACTCGCATACAAATAACAACACTACCCACAAGCATGCATGCTGCAACCCGGGGCTGGGCCTTGGGATCCTCCAAGAAAGCCGCCTGCATGAAGAAGCCCGACACCTCGGAGGACACCCGTGCTAAAGCAGCAAATAACCTTTCGAGTGGCGCCTGCGCAGCAAGCGATATCAGCACCAAGTTAGCCGAGACACATGGGAATGTGGCGTCTCGCCTTGAGGAGGAGGACTGATAATGGAAAGAGTGAGCGAGAGAGAAGGAAGGAGGGAGGGAAAGAGAGAGAGAGAGAGGGAGTGAGAGAGAGGATGGGGAAGAGAAGAAGGTAGGGGCCAGGGGGGCGGGCGCGACCGCTTGAACGGGCCGCCTTCTCTGATGTGTGTCGAATCGACATGTTTGACCCTGGGCCCGTGCGCTGGATCGGACAGGCCCCGGGCGCCAGACCCAGAGCGTGGCGGCCCCTCTCACTGAAGACATCGGCCCAATGAGAATTCCTGGAATGTTCATCAAGACGCCCGCTAACGGAAGCCGACGAAGCAGAACGAGGCGGAAGGCGGCGGACGGCCGTCGGAAGGCTTGCGGAAGGGAGCGTAAGTAAATGACGCCCCGTTCCGAACCTTGCTACCCCCGTAGAAGCCTGGCAATGTTGTCTTCTGCCGTGGGCCGGGGAGGATCCCGCCAGATTTACCCCCCTGTAATATGAGTATTTTAGCTCAGCCAAACTAGAATCCCACCCTTTGAACATAGGGTAAACACATTACCCGTGTCGTTCACCGATCCCGCCATGCTGGGATCAGCTCAAGTAAGATGGGGCCCCGAAATTGCAGCATTTCTGCGATGTCAGGGTCGTTTCCAGGTCATCTTGATATCATATCTCGCGCTTGCTTGGATCGCGCAGCCGTCGCATGTTCATTATGGGGCCACTGTGGGCGCGCGTGGATCCATCTTGTTGCCATCGAACCATCTCGGCGTCACTCGTGGCTCATGTGAAACGGTCCAAAATCCATGGCGGTATCGTGTTGGGGTGGCGTCATCCGAAGGTCGTCTGGACGTTATCGTCTTTGGCCTCAGGCCCTCCTGGAAACATTTTGTGGCCATGGGGACGCTTTGGAATTGCGCGCGCGCGTGCGAGCGCTGAGCACGCGTGCGCGACAACTCACCTCGCCGATGGGTGTACATACATAGATTTCTTGCTGCGAGTTTCCAAGGAAACTTTTGTTGGAGCCAAATCTACCGCCCAGTCACTTCGGTTTGCTGGCTTCGAGGTGGCAGCGGCGTACCGGCAGGAAGAGAGGATCCGAACGACGAGGAAGATCAGCACGAGCGAGGGCGGCATTGATCGAGGCCGTTCTAACCGTCGCGTTCTGTGCTTCCCCCCCCCCCCCCCACGAGATCCGAGCACGTTGCGACGCCTTGCAGCCAGCCGTACACTGGCGCTCGACTTTTCTTAGACCGAACGGGGAATTGAAACAAACCGTGCCTCCTCATCCTCCCCAGGGGTGAGAGGAGGACGAGGAGAAAGAAGAGGGGGAGAAGAGGAGTAATCAGTGGAGGAGAGCGATCCAAGGCGGCATTTCCCCCCCCTCCTCTTCTTTCTCCTCCTCCTCCTTCTCCTTCCCTGATCCCTGATCTGGGCTTCGCCCTCCTCCATTCGAGTGGCAAGGAAAGTAGATCTCGCTGACCACCCCTCGCCCGAGACATCGTTTTCACTAGCGTTTCCAGCCAGAACAGACAAGCATGCCAAAGAGAACGAACCCAAAGATCCATTTGACATCGAGCAGCATAATTTTGAACGTTACTGCCAAGGTGACGATCCATGTGCGCGTGGGCTCCACATGGCCTGCGCAATGTAGTCCCGACCACAAGCCCCAGCAGGCCAATCATTGCAATTAGGTGAACTAAGCAGCGCGCGATACATCTCCGGATGTTCGGATAGTACTCCTGCAGTGAGGTTGCGCTCTCAAACATGGCATGGCTGCGCCTCCCGTGGAAGAGGCAACGTCGTGTCCTTGGGCCTCCGTAGACTTATGCTTATGCGGCTTTCGGTTCTTCGATCCTGGCCCTACTCTCCCGAGGCTGCACCACAAGTGGTGTGCTCGCTGCCGCCTCGTCACCACGGGCCTGGTCGGCGTCCATCGCCAAACGTCCTGGCGATATCGGAGATGGCCGCCGCCGCCGCCGCTGGCCAGCCGCTGGCGGTTCGTGGGTCTCCCTGCACTCTCTGCACCCCCTCCCAAACCCCCACCTGCCCCTCCTCCCCCCCTGGCGGAGGAGGAGGAGGAGGAGGAAGAGGAGGAGGAGGAAGAGGAGGAGGAAGACCTCCCCATCCTCCCTCCTCCCCCGTCCTACCCATGGCACTGGCGGCGGAAAGTTGACCCAGCAAACGTGGCACAGAACTTCGCCCTCCTCCAGGCGGGATCCTTGTCATTGAAGTCCGTGGCAGTCGTGCGGGCCCCCAGCTGCCCCAGCACGGCCTGCCACGGCCGGCCTCGCCCGTCGCTCGCCCGTCGCTCGCCTCGTTCCTCCTCCTCCTCCTCCTCCTCCTCCTCCCCTTCCTCCCCCTCCTCTTCCTCCTCCTCCTCCTCCTCCTCCTCCTCTTCCTCCTCCTCCTCATCTTCGCACATAGCTCGGAATGATGCCCATTACTTACGCATCAACATCTGGCATCTGCTGCACGAGCTGCGCTCTGGCGGCTCTGGCATGGGGCGAGAGATCACCCACCTCTCTGGCGAGGACCGCCTTGATCGCATTATACATGCACAAAGCAAACACTACCCTCTGGACCGCCAATGCCCTCTCCTCATCAGCGAAGCGACGATCGAGAAACCGCTCCATGGGAATGTCAGGATGCCAAATCGCGAGCACCTCTCCTCCATCTCCTCCGTTCCCTCCCCCCCTCCCTTCCCTCCCCCCCTTCCCCCCCCCTTTCCCTCCCTCCGCGCATCGCGCCCCGCGATGCGTGGTGGGGATATTTTTTGGTCGCAACCGCAGGCGAAGTCGCCAGCGGCGAGTCGAGCCAGCCCGGAGTGGCGGGGATACTTTTTAGTCAACGGCCGCGGGCGGAAGCGCCGGCGGCGTGTCAAGTCGAAGCGGGTACGCGCCACAGACTAATTAACAGCAGAACTGGGGCACAATACTGCCAGAATGCGCATGCAAGAGGCCGAAGCGGAAAAGGCAAGAGAAACGCGGGAAAACCAACAGGGCGATGGGCGAGGCGACAACTAAGCGCGGCCGAGGCCTCAGGGGGGTGGCTACCGGGGCTGAGCTGAGGGGAACCGCCGTGTGCACAGCAGTTGGCAAGTCAGTCGGGCGTCACGCGTCGGAGAGTCAACGACGGCCAGGGACAACACCGAGAGAGAAAAAGTGACACCGAACCTCAGACGACGGCGTGGGCACCAGGGTGGCCAAGGCCAACGAGACGTCGGTCGAAGTCGTGAAGAGAAATGCAAAGGCGAGGCCCCGGACGGCGCGAAGCGCGAAGACCAGGGCGGTCCCAAGGACCGTCCACCACCGAATTATTGCCAAATGCGAAGCGTTGGCAGGCTGCAACTCCCAGGGTGGCGGAAGCCGGGAGACCCCTGGCAGCAGCGCGCACGAGTGCGGGGAAGCGGCAAAGCCGCGACGCAAGCCAAAATGGCGCGGGTCACCACGTACCTGTGCACGAGCGGGCGCTCGGAGTGTTCGAGGAGTGGTGGGGATTCGCGAAGCGTCAAGAATTGAGATGCCAACGGCTGGGTGAGGAGCAGAAAGCAGCACCATGATGAGAAATCGACTGGCGACGGCCCTGAGCACAACTGTCACAAACTGAACTACCGACCATTGAGCCTTGACCCACTGGGGCCACTGGACGCATCGAACTGCCCCCCAGCGGGTTCATCGCCACATCCGCTGCAAGCTCCTGCGAGATTCACGCACGCACCCGCCCACCAACGAAACCTCTGGTTCACAGGCGGACCCACTGCCCTCTCTCAAGGGAGAAAAAATTGCATAAGCATGAACTGCCGACGTTCCGCGCGGATTCCTTGGATCTGCGCTGGACCCCCCTCCCTGGAGCGCGGGACGAGCCAGGGGCGGCGCCAGCGGAGCCGCCAGGGGGGCCCGCTGCAGATTCAAGAAATCCACGCGGAGCGAGAACTGATGCTTATGCCGTTGTTTGTTCTTCGACCTCTGCCCTCTCACACCAGACAGTCCAATTCTGCCAACTCGGGCCCAGCCACATCGATCGGGGGAGGGGGAGCTCAGGGCATCGGCACCGAAAGACCAACGCGGGCGGAGGAGGCCGAGGCCTGTAGCCGCGTCCTGATGGTCTCCGCCATCGCCAGGGCGCGCGGGCAGAGGTAGCTCGCGGAGCAGAAGGCGGCCGTGTCCAGGCCGTCCTGGCGGGGCGGCAGGCAAGCCTAGCATCGAACCGAGAAGTCAAGTCGGCGATCGAAGCGGATCGGATCGGCGGAACTCGGCAGCCAATACGGGAGAAATCGGATCGGCGGAATTCGGCAATCTAATAGGGCCTCCATTGAGAAGCCGGAATCCAAAAACGGAATCCAAAGTCGAATCGGATCGGAATCGATCGAAATCGAATCGAATCGGGCCGGATTAATCGAAATGAGCCCTGGGGCGGGAGCAGCGAATGCAACGCACGACTCTCGTGGCTAGGATAACTGCCTGTAACGGTAGAAAGCGCTCTTTCGGAGCTAAGACGAGAACGATGTCATGTATTGGCAAAGGATGCGTTCCAGAATCTCCAGAGCATCTGGCGGCCCTCTTTTCTGCAGCCCGTGTGGGACATTAGGAGGTCTTTGAAATCTTGGAACATATCAACATCATGACCTCTTTCTCCCCTGAAGAGGGCGCGCGCACCGATTCCTGAGCCAAAGATGGGCCCGGCTTGGATCGGTGAGGTGGTCAGCCGACGTCCCGCGAACCTGCAGAAAACGCTCCGTCTCCGAGCCTGCCTCCACGTGACGCTCTGTCTCCAATCGGCGGCGAAATCCGAACCCTACCCTCGCCGATCTACGATTCAAGCAAGTCAATGGGCGGCAGGGGTAGTGCTCGGAACTCGTCGAACACGTGGCGAACTCCGAACCCTACCCCCCCCCTCTCATCGATTTGGGAGAATCGATGGTTGGCGGGGGTAGGGTTCGGAAGTCGCCACCGATCAAGGCCCCCCCCCGCCCCCGCCCCCACCCCCCCGCCGCCTGTGCGTCTCGAAGGCCACGGGCAGGACACCGGTGCCGCATCAGCTCCTCTCGTGCGCCGCTATACGGCAGCTGCCCAATCAGGGGTCGCGGCCGCACTCGCGCAGCGGGAGGCGTGCGGGCACCTCTGGCCAGCGCTCGGGCGTCCACTCCCCGTGAGCTCTTTGCTTTCGTGCGCGTTTTTTCCTCAAGATGCTCCGGGATGGTCCGGATGTTCTGGCGCCGGCCTCGCCGAGAAGAATGCACACGTCCGAGCGAGGCCAAAGCCTGGCCACGGCGTCGACGGAAACACTCAGCGCCACCCTGATGCACACTCAGCAGTCACTAGAAGAACAAAACTGCACAAATGTCAACTTTCGGAGGTCCGCGCGGACTTCTCGGATAGGCTCTGGACCCCCTCCCAGGCGCGCGGAGCGCGCCAGGGGCGGCGCCTGAGGCGCCACCAGGGGGCACCAGCGCCGATCCGAGAAATTCGCCCGGACCTCCAAAAGATTCTGCGACGAAAGCCACTGCGGCGCTCTCCTAGGTCACCTAAGCCTCGCGCATCGCGCCCCGCGATGCGCGACACGCGATTATCTTCGCGCCCTCGAAGCCTAGCGCGCCCACAATTATGTTATGGCCGGCTTTTTGCCCCTCGATACTCAGCACTCGGCAGGCGGGGAACGTTTTTTGCTCCTCGGTATTCAGCACTCCTCGCTATCGCTCGGGCGTCCATTCCGCGTGCAGTTTCCGGCCTCGTGCGGTTTCGATTTTCGCAGGATGAGCCGAGATGATCATCAATGGTCCTCGCCGAAGAAAAAACATGTCCGAACGATGCCAAGAGCGCCGAATTTGGTTATCCGGTCATAACGTAACTCGGCTCTCTAGCGGCCGTCTGGGACGATCTGGGCACCCCCGGAACACTCGGGGCGAGGCGCAGCTGCTGGCGGACATCTCGAGGCTGGAAGGCCGCCGAGCACCGACGAAAACATCCGAAAACCTTAAAACCTCGAACCCGAGTCAAGTCAACTCAAGTCCAGTCGAGGGGCCTATGGAGGCACCTCGCTCCGCAAGCGGAGCCGGAGGGCGTGAGACACTACGGCAACAAAACGCGCATGCAAGAGAAACGTAGTGGACAGGGCAGCAATAAATTATACATAGTAGTATACATCAGTCGCTTTTCATAAAATCTAGAAAATGTTTTTCCATCCGCTGCCAAGGGAAAGGCTCCTGGCTGCGAATCACATTCATTAAATTCGTGCCGTGCTCTTGTCGCAGAAATGAATCGACGGCATCTGTCCATCTTCGACGTGGCCGCCCTCGGCGTCTGATGCCGTCCGGACGCCACCGTAGAACTTGCGCCGGCCATTCTCGCGAGCCGGCGGTGGCGAGTCGCGCCACGAGGCGCCACATTGAGCGATCCAACACGACAAGCCAGTTCGACACAGGAAAAATCTTCAAAGCAACGGTCACTTTCTGCTTGGTGCGTCGCCCCGTTTCCTCCCAACTTTCGTGGGAAAGCTTGCTGAGACCAACTATCCGGCGGAGCATTTTTGAGCGCGTCGATACAACTCGCGCCCGCTGCTGTGCTGTCAAGGCTGTTGTCGAAAGACCGTAAACAGCCGTGGGCGTAACAATCGCGTCGAAAAGCTTCAAACGAAGGCGCAAAGATATAGATCTGTTCAAAAGTACTGCCTTCTGGGAATGGAACTTCCCCCATGCGCACTCCATGCGGTAGTTCACATTGCACTCTGACCTATTGCGCAAGTCGCCCCCGAATTTCTTATCTAAATACTTGTGAAACACCTGGGACGTCATAACCGGCAACTGGCAACCGGCAAGCTGCAGAATGGTAACCGGCAACTGGCAACCATTCGAACCCGAAGCGACTAGCAAAAAACGCACACGCCCGAGCGACGCCAAGACTCAGCAGGCGGGGACGCTTGGCAGCGCGAGGAGGCGGCGCTGCCCTGCCGCCCTCCTCCGTGCTGCCGAGGGAGCACCCCCCGTGGGCCCGACCTCGGCGCGGTGCCGGGCGCCGTCGGGCAGGGCCCCGCCTGCAGTGAAGGGGCCCAGGGACGCACCAATAAGTAGACACAAATCCCCAGATTCCTCTATTTGTTGCGTCTGTTCTGGCTGTTCGTCTTCCCCTCCACCTCCCACATGTTCCACATTTTCCTGAGAACTGACGACTATCAATGTCTGTGTTTTTTTTCCCCCTCCTGATCGGTGCCGGCCGCCGTCGGGCAGGGCCCCGCCTGCAGAGGTGACGGTGGCCGAGGGCCGAGCCCACAGGGCACGGGTCGAGCGCTCGGTGCGGGCGCGCCTTTGGGCAGGGCCAGAGCTGCCGGTGGCTCAGGGCCGAGCCCACGGCCTGCCCGCACGCCTCTGTGCTATGGTTCTGTGGCAACTCACGGGAGCCTCCCATCCCATGTTGTTGGCTCTTGCGAATCGGCGCAAATCGACGCTACATCGACGCTAATCGACGCTAGTCGGCGCTACATCAGCGCTACCTCGTCGATAACCAAACGCTAACCGACGAACCTGCGCTCCAAAGGCAGAATCGCGAGGGTATGGAAGGCTCCCATGTCTTGCTATCGAAAGAACTGCTGGTGGCCGAGGGCCAAGCCCACAGGCTGCCCACACGCTTCCGTGCCATGGTTGGGAATGAAGCAGGGGAACGGGTCCTGGACCCCGGGGCCTCCACCCCAGACTCCAAACCCTAGTCTTTGTCCTGAGCCCTATTTTCGGCAGTCCCAGAGGCCCGGGGAGGGCCCCTGGAGCCCGTTCACGGCGAACAGAACATCAGGACCCGCTTCCCTCAGAACCTGGTTGCTTCATTGCGGCCCGCACACCTCTGTGCCACCCTTTCCCCCTGGCCCTCTGGGGACGGTCACTGGGCCGAGTCGCCGCATGGAGGCCGTTCGAAAGAGGGAACTCGGAGACTAGTCCGCCAACGAACCCGCCGAGGTGCCGAAACATCAAGTTCGCAAACATGTTCGGCATGCCTGCATGGGCTGCCTCCTGCTCCTGCTGCTGCTGCTGCTCGTCCTTCTCCTCCTCGTCCTCGTCCTCCTCCTCCTCCTCCTCCTCCTCCTCCTCCTCCTCCTCCTCCTCCTCCCCCTCCTCCTCCTCCTCCTACTCCTCCTCCTCCTCCTCCTCCTCCTCCTCCTCCTCTTCCTCCTCCTTTTCCTCCTCCTCCTCCTCCTCCCCGAGCGTGCGCCGGGAGAGAGGCGGATAAGGAAGGATATCGAGGGTGGTGATGATGACGACGATGATGATGATGATGATGATGATGATGATGATGATGATGATGATGATGATGATGATGATGATGATGACGATGATGATGGTGATGATGATGATGATGATGATG